GAAAATAAAACTCCCAGCTTCTGTTTGGAGTCATGCCGTATTACATGTTGCATCATTGATTTGTATTAGACCAACTACATATTATCAATATTTACCTTTACAACTGGTACTTGGTCATGACCCTAATATTCCTCACCTACAGATTTTTGGTTGTGCAATTTAAGTCGATGTTTTTCCTCCACAACGTACTAAAATGGGTCCACAACGAAAACTTAAAATTTGTGTGGGTTTTAATTCACCATCCATTATTAGGTATCTTGAACATTTAACGAGTAATTTATTTATTGCACGTTTTGCAGATTGTCATTTTGATGAAATGACTTTTTCAACTTTGAAAGATGAAAAACTACATCCTGAAAGATAAGGTAAAATTTCTTGGAATGAAACAATTCTACCTCATTTTGATCCCAATAGTAATCAATGTGAACAAGAGGTTGAAAAAATCATTCATTTGCAAAGAGTTGTAAATCAATTACCTAATATATTTGTTGACACAAGAAATGTGACAGTCATATATTTCAACAGAAAATATTTCAACAAAAATTGATGTCCCAGTAGAACAATCTGTTGTAACAAATATATCTCAAATATACAAGAAGTGTGGTCGATCAATTGGTTTAAAATACTCTATGCATCAAAAAAGAAAATTACAAGAGAAAAATCAACAAAAAACTTCTAAAGTGTCACATTAGAAAATATAGATCAATCAATTATTGAAAATAAGGTTCTTGAAAAACTACAAGTGATCGAAAATAATGAGATTTCAATAAATTATATATTATCTCATTAATTATGGGAATGAAATAAAATTATTATAGAGTCATAGACAATATTTTCGCATTTAATGTAACTCTTGATATTATGCAAAATGAGGATCTTAAACCACAGTCAGTCAAAGACTGTCAAAATAGAAATGATTTATTAAAATGAAAAGAAGCCATACATGCGGAATTGAATTTTTTGGAGAACGAAAAATATTTGGACTAGTAGTTCGAACACGTGAAAATGTAATCCCTATTAGATACAAATGAATTTTTGTACGAAAGAAAAATTAGAAAAATGAAATTACAAGATATAAAGCCCGACTCGTAGCTGAAGGTTTCTTACAAAGACTAGGAGTTGATTATGAGGAAACATATTATTCCATAATGGACACCATCACTTTTAGATTCTTAATTAGTATGATTATGTCACAAAAGTTTGATATTCGCCTTATGAATGTAATAACTGCCTATTGTATAGTTCACTTGATAGTGACATATATATAAAAATTCCCGAACGACTTAAAGTGCCAAGAACAAATAATGCATGCCCAAAAACCATGTTCTCAATTAAATTGCAAAGATTATTATATGGATTGAAACAATTCAGACGCATATTGTATAATTTTCTTAGCGAAATATTTGTTGAATGAGGGTTATTGCCACGCGTTTTAAGCAACGTGGTTTAACCGCAAGTATACGGTATCAAGTTTTGTAATATAGTATTGGAGTAAGAGTGTCGAACCCATAGGGATTGTATTTAATTTTCACTAAGTACTATAATTATGCAATTTCTACTTTATTTAGATGAATGTATGATTGAATTGATGTTTTATGAATGAACAATTTAAATTAAACTAATGTGATTGGATGTGACAAATTTGGGGAATACAAATTATCAAATGAAAAGGCCTAGGGATTGATTTCACCTAACTTTCAATTATGATTCAACGAATTCAAATTATTCCAATTAATTTTCTCATATTTAAAAGCAAGAATCCTAATGTATTTCTAACCCCCTCTCTCGAGCACCGATTAGAAATTAACCCTAGATCTCAATTCTAATATCTCCGTTCAAAATTGAAAATCAAGAATTTAATAAAGATTCGATTCTTTTATGGAGTAAGCTTCACAGATTTATATTTTCTCTTGAAACCTATAAGTTCTATGTTGTATCACTCTTATGATCACGCCTAAATTTCCATTCTCTCGAGCGTCGAAATTGGTTAGCATCAAATCATCCAATTGTTGATCAGGCAATTGAAAGCATTAAAATCATGATACAATTAAATATATGCTGGAAAGTCAAATAAATAATTATAAAATCATCAAACCATAATCTTGATTCGGCTACATCAAACCCCTAGACAAATTGTTTAATTCATGGTATAATAAATGAAAATCATACAAATTATAATAAACAACATAAGGAAAATGATAGAAAAACTAGTCTTTTGGGTAGATTTTCAATCCTCTTCCTTGATGTTGTTTCTCCTTCCTTTTGATGCCTTCAATTTTTTTTTTGCCTCCTTCAAATTGTGTGGATGAATTCTTCAATCTTACCCCCTTCCATCCTCGTGTTTGGTCTCTTCCATTCCTCCTGAAAATAGGGTTTTTGAATGGTATTTATAGCATCTTAGGGGTCTTGGACGAAATAGGGTTGAATTGGGCCAATAAAAGAGTCCAAAAATATAAAAACGCGTTCTCCCACATATCCGACGCCTCGGCGCCAAATATGGGCGTTGCGGCACTCAGTTCGGTCGAAATGGTAGACTGCACATCTTTCAGTATTTTTAGCATAATTTTTGCATCCGATGTCCAATTGAGGTGATTCAAGATGGATTGGAAAGTTAACTCTAAGGGCTACAACTTTGCTTCAGGCATCATTCATCAAATTGATCGTTTGCTATGATAAAAATGGGTCTCAATATGAGACTGAAACTACGAGGCATAACTTTTCGGTTGGAAATTGATTTGTGATCATATTTTGACTAAATTTGATCCCTTTGACATCTTTTTTCATCCAATTGACTCCTAGCACTCTCGGATCTTCATTGCGAGGTTCAACACAATTTTTCAATTTTTGCACTTTAATCCCCGAATTTTGGATCTCTTACAATTTAACTATTTTCTCCAATTTCGTCAACTTTTACGTATTTCTTTCAATTTCATCAACCTACATCATAACATCTAAACACACATTAAAAATCTCTAAAACACTCTCAAGAGTAGCAACATAACAAATTAGTTGGCATAAATATCACGAGTGTAGAGCACTCATCAGTTATAAAAATAATTATGTTTGCCCACGTGTTTTCATAAAGAAAACATCTATTAGATTTACAATTGTAGCAGTTTATGTTGACAATTTAAATTTAATTGGAACTATTGAAGAGCTCAACAAAATTGCGAATTATTTGAAAAATGAATTTCAGATGAAAGATTAGGAAAAACCAAATTTTATCTTGGATTACAGATTGAAGATTTTTCAAAAGAATTATTTCTTCATCAATTCACTATATAGAAAAAGTTTTAAAATGTTTTTATATGGATAATGCACATCCATTGGCATTATCTATGGTTGTTTGATCACTTGATGTGAAAAATGATTCATTTTGTCTACTTGAAGATGGAGAAAAATTCTTGGTCTTGAAGTATCATATCTTAGTGTAATTGGAGCATTAACTTATTTTACAAATTGTACTCAACTTGTTATAGATTTTTCTGTAAATTCCCTTGTAAGATATAGCTCTATACCGACTCTTAGATATTGGAATGGTGTTAAACATTTTTTTCGTTTCCTTAAGGGCATTATTGATTTGAGAGTATTTTATTCTCAAAAGTAAGGATTTGCTTTAGTGGGAAATGCAGATGCATGTTATTTATCTGATCTACATAAAGTTAAATCACAAGTAGGATATGTATTTACACATGGAGAAACAATTATATGGTGAAGATCTGTAAAGCAATCCTAAACAGCAACATACTCAAATCATTCTGAAATTATTGCAATCCATGTAGCAAGCTGATAATGTATTTTATTGAGAAACATGACCCATCATATCCAAACATCATGTGGATTAACTTCAACAAAAGATAGTCCAACAATTTTGTATGAAAACAATGGAGTTTGTATTGTACAACTCAGAGGAGACTATATTATATATGACAAGACAACGCATATTTTCCAAAATTCTTTCATACACATGAGTTTTATAAAAATGGCGATATGATATCCAACAAATTTGCTTAAGTGACAATGTTGTCGATTTATTCAGAAAAACATTGCCAACATCTACATTCAAGAAATTGGCTCAAAAGATTTGAATGTGTTGACTCAAAGATTTTGAGTGATTTTCATCAAGGAGAGTAGCTGTACTCTTTTTCCTTAATCTAAATTTTGTCCCATTGAATTTTCCTAACAAGGTTTTAATGAGACAATATTTTCTTGATACTCCAAAATATTAACAATTAATTGTACTCTTTTTTCTTTGTTTATTTTTTCACTGAATTTTTATCAAACAAGATTTTTAACGAGGCAGTTATTGTACAAATAAACATCAAAGGAAGAGTGTTATAAAATAATGAGATAATTATTGATGATTATTTAGTATTATCATAATATGTAGATTAGTCTTATCTGGTTTAGAAAACATATTTTATTTCAATTGTAACTTTTATTTTGGACCACTTTTTATTTCTTCTCCTATTTTCTTTCTTTCTTTTAGTTTTATAATAGAAAATGAATTTTGGGTGATTTTCAAGCTACTCAAAATCGGTGCTAAAAAGAATTAGCAAACACCGATTTTTTCAACCATTCATAAATGGTGTCATCCGGAATCAATCAAAATTGGGTGAATTTTTTTTTTTTTTCCCGAGCAGGCCCGTAGGTTGGTTGAGGGGTACGATACATAATGCTCCTATACATATTATATAAAAGTTGGCGAGTCATCGAAAAATTTAAGGTGAGTTTACCTATAAAATTGATAATATTAAATAAAATTTGATAAATAATAATATGCTCTATAATATATTTTACAGTTTAATCATTGAAAATTTCTAATATTTTCTGGTAAAAAAATTAAAAAAAATACTAACTTACTGTGGAAAAAAAAAAAGAAAAGAAAAGAAAAGAAAGGGAAAAAAAAACAAAAATAAAAAATTATCACCGCTTCAATTTTTGAGCCGGCTTTCTATTAGGGCTCACTTTGCTTTAACAGTTATCGAAAAGGCCCACTTGACGTGTGAATTGGAAAGATAAAAATAATTACTAGTTTATTTATCGCCGAGTTGAAGGGGTTTCTAAGGGGCGAACGGCGATGCTTTTCGATCGGAAAATCCAGTCACCGCTGGTTTTTCAGTAACTTCATTCTCATCTCCACTATCTGCTTCCACCCTTCAGCTTAATCATTATGCGTGTATGTTAGTGCGTACTTGTTTGTGTGTGAAGTTCTATCCGCTCTCATCGAATCGACCACTGTTCTCTTTCGCCGGCGTGAGCATGTTAAGAGTGCATGTATCTGAGTTTCACTGATTTATCGGCTTACTAATTTAATTTGTTTGTTTTCCAAGTTGATTTGTATATTTGTTGTTAGATTGTATTTGATTGACAACTTTCTATTTTTTAGTTCGTCTATTGTTATAGTTTGCGAAGGGTACCTTGATTGAAGTGACTCTAGGTTTATAATATCCATAGGATTGCTTGGAAATGTTTGATGTTATTTTTTTGTGGAAATTTTTATACTAGGGAGAGTGCGTTTTGTTTGGGTTTGGGGGCGGTGCTATATCATTCTCAAAACCCAAAGTTTAGGTACTACAGAAAGACGAATAAAAATAGGAAGAAGAACAGAAAGATGCACATCATCCATGTTTTATGTTGCTTGAAGAGAAGAACAGTATTAAAAATGGTACTCTCAGTTCCAATAGATGGAACTCAGCTATGCATTTTTATTTATCTTTTGATATCGACTGGATCAGGATTTACTAATAATTTCTGTTTTTTTATGGCAGCCAAAAGAGAGGAAAAAAGTTTATCCACTCTAGTTTGAGATTCACATTCATTGATATTGAAAACTTGCATTCTAAAAAAACTATAAGGAAGTTACTCCTGGTTTATGATTACGTCTATTCATTTTGAGAGGTTACATCTAAGATGTGAACATCTAGAGTAAAACCTTCAAGTGTAAACATAATCGTTGAATTTGAAAAATCTAATTTCTTATGATACAACATAGAGAGCAGAGCACTAAGATCACTTCCATATTCCAACATTGTACTCCATCGTATTGATTTATTCAGTTTCTTATCTTCAGTCAGGTTTAAAACTCCATCACAACTAATGCAACCAATCATCATTATTACATAGTTAAATATGAGGGTTTAAATTTTGTTATCAGAGCAGTAAAAAGACCATTGGTATAACCACATATACAGGCCCTCTTTTCCTCATGGGATGATATTCAAAATGGTGGGCATAAAATATCAGTTCTTTTTGTTCACTTTCAAGACTTTGATATCTTTAGGCTACTTTCTTTCTCAACTTTGTCGGTCACCCCTCATGGAAGTTATTTTACTTTAAAAATTCTTAGGACATGGACTAATATCTCTAATATTAAGCTGGTAATGGGACTAATATTTTTGTCCACCATTCGGTTCAGGAGTCTACTTTTTGACAATCAACTAAGGTGTTTTTGGGGGTTTTCTTCCAGCATCTTGTAGAGTTAAAAATTTTGTGCTTTCTTATACTTGTATGCATGTCTTGATATGCTGGTGTTGAGGGAGTGGGATGCTAACCAAGATGGTTTCTCCTAGACGAGAAATAATGTGAGGCCTGCAAGGCAACCTGAAACACCAAATTCACTCATTTGCTAAATTGATTATCCTTCTCCTGTCACTCAATTTCTTGGTCCTCTATTATCTTTTGGGGGTAATCTCAGTGACATCATAACATGCGGATGTATTAGATGCTTTAATAGGATGCATTCCTTATATTTGTCTGCAAGAAGATAATTAAAGTGATTGGACAGTAGACTGCTCTCATAAACTTCGAACTGGCATACATTGGCTATCTCATCTTTTTAATGCATGTCCCATTGTTGGAAAACAGCTTATGCGGCTCTCTCATTATACAGTGCTGAATGTTTTACTATTTTTTCATCTCTATTAATTGAAATACCAGAGTTTCATTTCTGCTGTTTATTAGCTGTTTAAAAAGTGCTGCTTCTGAAAACTTGCATTTTGTGATTTGTCTTTTCATGTTAACATACAAGTCTATTGAAGTAGCTGTTTGACATAAAAAATAAATCCCAATTTTCCACATTCTTCACTTTTTCTTAATTGCAGGAGAGTTCTTTGATTGAAAACTAGGTAAATAAGATTAAACAGGTTGGTTGAGCAGCAACTTAGATTTAATTCTCCGTTCTGCTAGCTATTATACATGACATGGATGACGGGGGAAATCGAGAGAACAGAAGACAGAGGATGGATTATTACAAAGTACCTCCGGTAATAATTAGTATATGAATCTTCTAATCTCCAGTTTAATCTTTCTCCATGATCATCTTTTGAGTTGATTCCTCACAAGTTCTTTCCTTTAAACTACTGTTGCAGTGGAACATGATATCCCCATTCCAGGCAAAAGAACTAAATGCTTTAAATATCAACCCCAGGGTCACCATGCTCTGTAATGAAAGGGATGCTGCCATCGAGGAGCGTGATAGAGCCCTGGCTGAAAAGAAGACGGCCTTAAATGAACGAGATGCTGCAATTCAGCAGCGAGATGCTGTAATTGCTGAGCGAGACAATGCCGTAAGAGAACGTGACAATGCCATTGCTGCCCTCCAATTTCAGGATGCTTTATTGAATGGTGGCGCACGTGGATTGAAGCGCAATGTCCAATCTGCCCATAGTTTGAGGGATGTGACTGAGGCCTTTCCCATATCTACCGTTCCATCCGAGGCTGCAAATTCATGCCAAGTGAAACCAACAAAAGCAATCAAGGGGACTCCATCGAAGGCAACAAAATCACCACGGAAGGCGAAGAGAGTAAGCAAGGACTTGAATAGACATGTCACTACTGATGGATCGAAGGCTGAGTGGGATGCACAGGATTTTGGTATTATGAACCAGTTAATACAATTTGATGAATCTAGCATGCCAGTGCCTGTTTGTTCATGCACCGGAGTATCTCGACACTGTTACAAGTGGGGTAATGGTGGCTGGCAGTCATCTTGTTGCACCAACTCTCTCTCAGTATACCCACTACCACAGATGCCAAACAAGCGGCACGCTAGGATGGGTGGCCGGAAAATGAGTGCAGGTGTTTTTAGCAGATTGCTTACCAGACTGGCGGCAGAAGGGCACGACTTGTCAGTTCCACTAGATTTGAAGGACTACTGGGCTAAACATGGAACAAATCGTTACATTACCATTAAATAACTTTAAAACAAAGTCCTTGAATATGGTAATGCTTTTCCCTTTGAGTGCATTTGGCACCTGAGTTTTCCAGTTTCTGTAAGTACAATTTTAGAAGGAAGGAAGGAAGTTGGACCCCAAATTGTTAGTTCCTAGAGACTTTGATTTTGTTTACTGTTCATATTTCCTATTTAGTGCTCATCGCAATCAGATTAAGAATCGACGTGGTTGGTTGTCTTTCAGCGTGACGTGATCCCACCCTCAAACCAAGCAGGGCAATCGATAAAGATGGTGGGGATTTTGTGGGACTTGTCCAATGTTGTAAGTTGCAATGTTCCTCGTTAAAGTTGTGAAAAGGAAGGCGAAATCGGTGACAGCGAAAGATTTCAAAGTTGACTTTTATGCTTAAGATTAAGATAATTAAAGAAACAAAAAGATTCCTCGCTGTCATGTCAGGATGGCCGAGTGGTCTAAGGCGCCAGACTCAAGTTCTGGTCTTCGTAAGAGGGCGTGGGTTCAAATCCCACTTCTGACATTTTTCCTCATTTTTGACAAATACTTTTTCATACTCATTTTGAAGCTTTTCAGTTGCTAACTCGAATGGACCCAATAGCCCCAAAAATTTCCACCAAAAGCAACGCATTACGGACTACGTTTGTGAATTAGCTTATTTTGGTTGTGAGCACAAGTTACTTTTAAACGCCCGTGTTTGGTTCACGTTTATAAACAATTTTAAAAAGTTACTTTTTATTTATATTTAAAAGAATCTTAAAGTACATCCCAATTATTTTAATATTATTTTAAAAGTTTAACCAATTTAAAAATTATTTAATAATACATACAAATTATAATACCAAATGTAGTTTTAAGAGTTTTAACAAAATAAATATATTTTCGAGCAATAAACAAAAATATATTATAAAAGTGATGCTAGACGAACATGGCTATGTCCGTCCAGTGTTTCCCATGTCTGTTAAAACTGTAAGAAGGCTAACAATCTTAAAAATTCTAGGAAGACGACTTTTCTAAAGCTTATTGAACTCTAGAAAAGATTTCTCAACAGCTTCTTGTCCCGTTTCGAAGACCTAGCACGATAACCATTGACTCAAGAGAGTCCACTACCCACTACGACGGCCATGCCATAAATGCCGCAAGAGTGAGAAAGAAAATGAGAGCTAGATGTTGATACATCGGGTTTGTTTAGTAGTGCTTTTAACTGATTATAAGTGGTAGATTCTATGTTGAAGCGTATAAAAATAAAAAGGAATCCACCGGAAAATAGTCTGGCAGCTCATGCTCTGTCTCGAGCTCAGCAGAGAAGATGGCTAAATGCTTTTCTAAGGTTGCCAAGGCCAACTATGACCCGTATTTTCAGTATGATAAATGACAGTATTCAAGAGATAGTCGATAATTGCATGGACCCTCAAATTTCAATTTCTGTTCTTCATGAGAAAAGAAAACTTTGACAGATTCTGAATTTGAGCCCCTTGTATATCATGCAATACAAAGTTTCAAGAACAATAGGCTACAAATAGTTCCATTCCATCAGTAACCATTCAAATCTTAAATACAGTTGTAACTGTATTAATAACAACCAAAATTGTTGTATGAGGTTTTGACACCCATACGTCAAAGTTTCTCCAGAAAATAGTAAGGAACAACGTGTAAAATCATCTTAAAGAGGCCTAAAGCCAGATAAGTAGGCATTAGTATGTTTCAAACTAAGCAGATAAATTGATTTCTTGCACCTCCTCTTGATTTCTAATCCCTTGAACCCAGCCTCCATCAATGGCTTCCATATTTCCACTCAATCCATCATCAAGAAAATCGCCAACCCTTTTCACCTTGCCCCTCGGTTCGACAGGGTACTTCCCAGAAAAGCAAGCATAACAGAAGTTCGGCGAATCGTTGCCCATTAACTTCTTTAAGCTATTGATTGACAAAAAAGCAAGTGAATCCGAGCCAATGAACTCTCTAATCTCCTCTACACTCATCCTATTCGATATTAACTCCTCTGAGCTAGGTGTGTCTACTCCATAATAACAAGATCCTATGATCGGAGGGCTTGCGATCCTCATGTGGACCTCTTTAGCCCCGGCCTCTTTTATTAACCGGACAATCTTTGAAGAAGTGGTTCCTCTCACAATCGAATCATCCACCACCACAACCCTCTTCCCTTCCAATACCGCCCTCACAGGTGAAAGTTTAAGCTTCACTCCAAAATCCCGAATCTTTTGTGAAGGCTCGATAAATGTTCTACCAACATAATGTGACCTTATCAATCCTTGTTGAAATGCCACCCCGACTTTTGCAGCATAACCAAGTGCAGCAACAACCCCTGAGTCCGGTACTGCAATCACCACATCACAATCCACCGGAGACTCAGTCGCCAATATTTCACCAAATGCACGCCTTGATTCATACACAGACCTCCCAAATACCACAGAATTCGGCAAAGAAAAGTAAATATGCTCGAAAATACACGATTTAGGCTCGGGATGAGACATCAAACAAAGGGAACTAACCCCTTCTTTATCCACCATAAGAACTTCACCAGGATAAACCTCTCTCTCATATGTAGCTTCAATTAAGTCCAAAGCACAAGTCTCAGAAGCAAAAACCACTGCACCATTACTCCTCCTACCCATAACCAAAGGCCTAAAGCCAAAAGGGTCCCTAATTGCAACTAGTTTATCCTCAGTCAAAAACACCATAGAATAAGCTCCCTCAAGCTTATTACAGGCCTCTACAATCCTCAAAAAGAAGGGTCTCGCCTTCGATATCGCAATCAAATGAAGAACTACCTCAGTATCAGAACTAGTATTGAAAATCGACCCACTTTCTTCAAGCTCCGCCCTTAAATCCTGGTAATTCACCAAATTCCCATTGTGGGCAACTCCAACAGACCCGAATTTATAACCCGCAACAAAAGGTTGCACATTCTTGAGCATCGAGGATCCAGCAGTAGAGTACCTAACATGGCCTATTGCCATATCACCAGGCAATTGATCCAATTTCGCTTCATTAAACACATCAGACACAAGCCCTACACCAGTAACGGACTGAAGCACGTTATCGTGCACCGAAACAATTCCTGCTCCCTCCTGGCCGCGGTGTTGGAGTGCATGAAGGGCTAAATAGCAAAGGCGTGAGGCCTCAGGATCGCCGTAGATTCCCACCACTCCGCACTCTTCACGTGGCTTGTCGTCATCATCATCCTCCAAATTGTTTTCTGGGTTTTTTGATTCTTTGTACGAGGAGATAAACTCAGATATGGGGTTTTTAGAAAGGGTGATATGGAGCGGTTTGTAGGATTCTGGGAGGATTTTAGGCTCGAAACAATTTAAGGGTCTGGTTAGGTGCCGAGAGGAAGATAAAAAGGAGCGGTTGACTACAGTGGATTTCACGGCGGCGGAACTGATAGCAGCAGCGGTTGTGGCGGCGGCCATCGGATGTATAGACAACGAATTAAGGAGTGAGTTGGATTGAATGGACTATGAATAGCCAAACCAGCTGGACTAGGTTTTGAGGCTTTTATACGAGAAACTAAGTACTTGTAATAATCGCCTATGGCGGTTGCTGTGAAATTGGCAATCTCACCTCAAAATCTGATTGGTCCGTACTTATTCTAGGGACAAAACCTGGTGAATATAGCTTCTTGGAAATTTTGGTTAAATCCGACTCAGGAATCTACTTATTAGCAGTTAGTAACCTCTATTATTTTATGATTAATTGCACTTTTTGGCAAATCTTTGACCGACTATCTTCATTTCAGTATTTGAAAAATGAATTAGTGGTGGACCAAAAAATCGAAAAATCAACCAAATTAAATGGAGTCGGGTCGATTTGAATAAAAAAATCGATTATATATATAAGCAAGCAATTTTTTAATTCAAAATAGGTAAATAATTTTTTTTTTTTTTTAAATCGAACCAATGTTCAAATCTATTGACCAAACCAAATTGGTTTGGTTTGGTTTCAACTATGAATGTCAACGAATCGAGTTGGAGCGAGCAGAAACTCAAGGCTCGAGCTCAGTTCGAGTAAATTGAAACGAACCTTTTTCGAGCTTGAGCCGAGCAAAAGCTAGACAAAAAAAAGGCTCGACCGAGTTTTTGGCTTGAGTTTTAGTGAGTCGAGTCGGCAGGCTCGATTCTCTCTCTCCCTCCCTTTTTATTAGTATTATTGGCACTGCTGCCTTATTTTTTTTCTTTTCCTTCTTCTTTTTTTTTTTTTTTTTTTTTTTTTTTTTTTTTTTTTTTTTTTTTTTTAAATTTTGTAAGGCTCGAGCTCGAGCTGGCGAGCCACATGGGTCGGCTCGAGCTAAGCCCAGAACCTCAAAATGGGGTTTGGCCCAAGCCCCCTCAAACCTTTTTCGGATCGAGCCACGGTTGTCCTAGTCGACGAACCCAATTGATATCCCTAGTTTCAACAATTGGATTGGATCAGTTTGAGTTGAAATTTATCCAAACCAATCAAGTTGATTTTAATTTGAGTTGGACTCAAGACCAATCCAATCCGAACCATGTCCAGGCCTAATTTGAATTACTGGATTTTAAAAATTGATTGTGATCAAAACTATGATCATTTCAAGAAAAATGGAGATAAAATTAACCATTCATTGACTCTTGTTTATAATCATCATATCATTTTTTGTTAGTATTTGTTAAGAGTTCAATTTTGACCCGATTTTTATTGGGAGTTGATAGTATATCTTGAAGAGGTCAAAGACAAACAAGAAGTCTTATTCGCGTGAAGATCACTTGCTATCCACTCCAGGGGCGCTCTAGCGTCTTTTTCAGCAACTTGATCGCTCATTGATCGTGCCATGGGTGCTCAAGCAATCGTTCTATCGCTTGTTGAATGCAAAGCCACCGCTTGAGTGGTGGTATTATCCAGGTGAAGTCTATTCGCGATTTTGACAATCTTTACACTCATATTCTACCTTAAACACTCCATTATTTGTTAGGCCTATCATATTAGGACTCTACCTAATGTTAGACTCTTTAGTGTATTATATATTTGAGGAGTAAATATCTTGGGAAAATCATCATACGCACTTTATAATCCTTCATATTTGTTCTATTGAATTTCACCTCCTCTGTCCGTGGTTTTTTTCCAAATTGTGTTTCCAAGTAAATCTTGGGTTCTTGTTCTTATTTTTCATATTGTCAACTCTCATTTTTTTCGTAAAAAATGGTATAGGATTAATGTTTGATTT